CGACGTCGACGGTACCGAGACCGCCAACCTACCTCGACACTAAAAAAAAATATATATATATATATATATATATATATATATATGACCTTTTGTTTACCTAAATATTCTACCCAAAACAGTTACAATAAGGTAAAATTTTAAACAAAAATATATTTCCTCTTGACTGTTTTAGGATTTATATATTTTGAAAACTTATATTTCAAAGAAAGCATTTTTAACCTGCATTCCACAAATTTCCTTTATTTAATATGAGTGCGCACATGACTTCCTGCGGTTTCAATACATTGCCCTTAAGATTTTAGTTTTGTTGTAAGATACGACGATAATTTTAACGTCTTATAAAATCTGAGGTGATATAGCAATGTAAACGAAGCGGAAATTACACTATTTTTTAACTGTACTTAACATGTGAACTTTTAATTCGTATACATGGTATAATAGATTAGATTATAAACTCTGGCGAAAAACATGAACTGTACCAACTATTGTTATCATAAATAAACTAGATTATAAGAGAGATTTTTCGCTGCATTTCTTTCTACTAACCAAGTGAAATCCTAAACAAATGTTAGTATAATATAAAATAATAGTTGCTTATTTTTTCATGATGGTGAAAAGTTTTATAGAATTAACTAAAAACTCACCACACATCATATCATATCTTTAATAAAAAAAAATGGCAATAACTTTAAACCAATAAAAGGATTAAAGTAATAGTACAAAAAGTGCTATTACTGTGTTTTTTATAAAAACAATTCATATATTGTTCAATAAAGAGATATTGAAAATAGTAGCGAATAGTGTGAATAATCACGAACAATTCTAAAGGTATTTGAATTACATTTGCTCTTAGTTTGAAGTTCTCACTACGAATCTAAGAAACCATTTTCTTTAATAATAGTATCATCAACAGCTGTTGCTCTACTTTCTCTGAGGCTTCGAAAGATGAAGCACTTCAAAGTGGACAAACAACCCTGCACTCGAGACAAGTGAAAATTACAACAAAATGATCTGATCAGGAAGAGAGAACCTAACATAGGATTGTATTATTTACTTTGCCAATATGTTCTCAGCCAAATTATGTTTGTCACGTGAATAGTGATTATTATTCACTATGTTTGGTGCCGCTTTTTTAATTTAGCTGTTTCTTTGTTTTTAACGTAATTTATCTTATAACCTTCAGTTGTGCTAAATGTGCACATAAATCAGTTCAACTCATCTCTGTTATTTACATCACATTACAACACCAAGTAAAATTCTTTGCATGTGTATAGGAGAGACAAACGGATAGGATTAAAACTGATGAATCAACGCATTAAAACATGACTTTTTATAGCATCGTTTATTTAAATATAATGCCAAAATAAATATGTCCAGTATGATTGGACAAGCCGTTAAGTACTATGATAAAGCGCGTAATAACACTGATAGATATAACCACTAACAGATATTAAATTGTGCACTATCACTTAAGAAAATATCCAAACTTAGATTTGAAAATAAAACTATAGCAAATAGTTATTTTTTTACCTTTCAAATATCTAGGTAAAGAAATGATTTAAGCACTAATTTAAGCATTTAATGTAATCCACTCTTCAACTTATGATACAATGAGATAAAATTAATGTTAATTTTAGCATATTTTGACATACGACAAAATGGTTCTGAGTAATATATTTCATTGTAAAAACAGTCTGATTTTGCTTTAAACCCTGCCTAAGATAGTTCGAATCTAGTCCACACTGTAGTTCGTGAGATGAATATGTAACTGTCGAATTAAAGCTGGTTATTTACCGTTATTTTTATTGTAGAATCATAAGTGTTTCAAAAATGGTGTACTGATAAACAAAACTGTATTGAAATTTTAAGTTAGCTGATACCAGATAGTTCTTTTAGTAAAACTCATTTTATATGTATAAATGTATAACTTCTAGTTCACGAAGAGATTAACTAGTGTTATTATAATTACATAAAGAATTTAGAAGTCGGTTTTTATTACGTAAAAGTTAATAACTTTAATGGCCACAATTTGTCATGGCTTGTAAATTAGCAATGAAAGGGGCGATATGTTCTGTATCAGAAACACGGTGGCAATAATATTATTATATTTCTTATTCTGATATAATATAAGGTTCCACTGACTGCATTTTGTGACTTGAATGTTCATAATGAAATATTACTTTTTTCCAGAACAAAAACTTTGAAACTTAACCTTTAAACACTTACGCATGAAACATAATAAATTGAATAGTATAAAAAAACTGGTAAAAATTCACAAGATTACAGAACTTAGAGACATTCAACGCAAACAAAGAATTATCTGTTCATTATTTTATTAAGTAATATAATTTGAGCGTATTACGAATACTATGTATGTTCCATTTCTTACAGTTCATTAGCATAATATACGATAAGAGCAAACATAGCATTAATAATAAACCTGTAGCAATATTAAAGTGTTTAATGCGAGCAATAGGGGACTTCAATTAGTGTAATCTAATAAAACGTGTTGAAGTTTTGCTGCTTAACAATGTTAACAGTTACATCATAAACATGAAGAAGATCTAGGAAGGTCCTAACAGGAGCCAAATAAGGTCCAATACTTTATTTTTGAATTTTATCCAAAAAACAGAACGCACTCAAATGAGTATATAAAATTTTAGATGTGCAAAACTTGTGTCGCAGAATACCTTTTAAAATAATTCTCTTTTTATTAAGATTTCGTAATAAAGCAGTTTGTAAGTTGTGATTGCATTTAGGATGTCACTATATATCTTTCTAATGATTGAGTATGAATATGATTAACTAATAATAAGTAAGCATTAGTGACAAAAATATACATTTCAGATTAGATATATGGAGGTATCTAAACAAAGAACAGAATGAAATTATGGGTATAATTAAATTATGATAGAATAAATGGACTTTATTTAAGTATGTGTTGATTGTTTATTAAGTAGATCGCTTATATTTGTAAGTATTTGTATTGTTTACTTGTTTGCCTTTTATTTACATTCACACTTTTGATCAGAAAATGTATATTGATGTTACAAAAGTTTTTACTAATATTAGTCTCCATCAGAATATCCGCTTCTTGTTCTCATATGTTATTTCTGAAAGCAATATACAGAGGAATAATCGCGCTTGATAAGAACTCTAATGCAGTGATGCTAGCCGAGGTGCCACGGACGACGGGTTAGTATCTATATATGTAACTGGCCAATGACAAATTCACGACCATTAGCATAGAAACACCCTCAGAGTTGACTGAAGTCTATGGTAAGTATATGATCGCTCGTTCTAAAAAGTATATTCATAGAGCAAGACTGCTAAACGACTCAAAGCCAAAGTACAAGACATTTTGAAAAATACAGCATTCAGTATTCTTCAAGGAAGCGGAAAACTGACACAGCAGAGTGCTTAAGAGAGCAACGATCTCCAAAATCAAAATTATGCGGAGAAACAGCCTATATACAAAATGAAAGCTGTGGTTACTGAAAATAAAAAGAAACTTCTCAATCAAAAATTCATTGTGATGAAACTGGACTACCCTGTGGTGCCATTAACAACATAATAAACAAGGATTCGAAGTTCCCGAAGGCTCAGGCAAAGATTCACCTGCTTTCAGCCATATTTCTCCGTCAATAGCTGTTTTCATCTGGAGATGATCGGAGAAACGGGAATCACAGTAGTCCCATTTTACGATACAGCTGTCAAATTCTGCAACGGATGTTCATGACTCACGATCTTGGAAGCTGACGTGCAAATACATTCTGTGGAAACTTGACGAGATCTGTGTTTGTTTGTTTGTTTTGAATTTCGCGCAAAGCTACACGAGGGCTATCTGCGCTAGCCGTCCCTAATTTAGCAGTGTGAGACTGGAGGGAAGGCAGCTAGTCATCACCACCCATCGCCAACTCTTGGGCTACTCTTTTACCAACGAATAGTGGGATTGACCGTCACATTATAACGCCCCCACGGCTGAAAGGACAAGCATGTTTGATGGGACGAGGATTCGTTGAGCTCCCTAACCACTTGGCTATGCCGGGCCCGAGATCTGTGGTATAGATTAACTTGAACGTTTTTCGCAGAAGCTTGTTACAATTGAAATTGCAGTTTCAGCCAATAGTATATAACCGATTCAGCAAAGTGAGCATAATCTACAAAGGAAAAAGTATTTCCTGAAATACAAGCATCATCAAAAATTGATATTGACTTAGAATATTTATGAGAAGTGTAATTTTCAAATTTCATTTTGTTTTTTGTGAGTGAGGTACGTTTGTAGGATATGTTTGCAATTGTTTTAAACTTCACTCTCAAGATGCTATGTATTTATACTCCCAAACAATAAATATTTCATTTACATAAGTGCTATGGAATATATTTTACAATTAGATTTATGACTTTTTTTTTTCATCACAACTAAATAAAATGGTAGTCAGTTTAGCCAATGTTAAGAAGCATATGTATATAAACTACAAGATACGAAGCCTTTGGTTAAATTGATTTCTTGAACCTACGTGTTTTCCTGAGATCATGAATGTATGTAAACCATGATATCTTTGACCCCTTTGTGTATCATCAATTAATGTCAAATCAATGATGTAAGAACAACGTCTCATAGAAATGCATCCGATTTTAGTATTAGATTAAAACCGATGATAGAATGAAACCATAGATTTTACCATATTTGGCAGTAATTAGTGCGGTACTCTATACGCGTGCGCTAATTGGCTGCCCCTCTGGGGAAGGGAGGGAGGGATAGAGTCGTCCACAAGTGGCACCAGAAGGCGATGACATCATAGTTTCACGACGTAGCACCATAGGGCGTATTGCTATAGGAAAGAGGTACTAAGATGAGATAATCTATGATGAGCATGCAAATATCTTGCAGGTGAACCACCAGAAGGTAATGTAGATTAATTTCTGAACATGTAATTACGTCATCAACTTTATAATTTTCGTTTCAGTAATAATCAATGACTTATAATTAATATTTCATCTAATTTGTATATTGTACATTTTACAATTATCAGTACTGAAAAGTTTATAATCTTTATCACAACTAAAGTTTCCCTTTATATGTAAAATTTACATTAAATCTACTACTTTTATCTCTAATTCATATCATTATTATATATTTAATTGTATTAGGTACGTTTTACAAAATCAGATGTTGTTAGTGTAGGCGGATAGTGTTATTAAGAGCAGTGCTACTGTAGACCCGTAGGTCTGCGTACAGATTTCAGTTTGTCTCACCTTATGTTTATAGTTTTCATTTATATATTTAATTGTAACATAAGTTTTACAAAGACAGATGGTATTTCTATAAGTGGTTAGTGTTTGTAACACACTTAACGTACTGTAGTAGATGATTATAGTTTTCGATTCTATATTAATTTGCGTGATATACTTTACGTATTTTTGACGTTTTGTATGCAAAACACTTATTGTTAATTCATTAGTTTTCATTTATATAATTAATATATTGTATAACATCTATTCACCCTAAAAAGGACATTTATTTAAACCTATAAATAATATAAAATAATTTAAATTTCATGTTTATCTTTATAAATTTATTTACTTCACTAAAATTTAACTTTCAAAGAACTACGTAAATAGAAATTTTTAACAATTACTATTGTAGAAAATTATATTCATGCGTTTCTGTAAAAATATTCACATATATTTGTTTGGAGCTTGTTTCTTACTGATTTGGAGCCTAATACTGACTGAAACTATTTGCATATAGGTGTTCTTCAAAAATAGGCTAAAAGCTCAATAAACTCTACTTAAGTAAATAATCCTCTTACAATTTTTTCTGCTACACGTTTGCCATCAAAAAACTATTTCTAGAAACTTAATGATCAATGTCATTAACACAAATACAAATGTGGACTCTTTCAACTTTGTTGGTTATTTTATTCTGACTCATCACATGCAAGGTGCATGCTTAAAAAGCTGACCCTTGTGTAAAACCAAGACTAAAACAAATAATGATTTCGTTCCTATAAAAATTACAGACTGAAGGTCGTTTACAATTCATAAATTCTTTGTTTCCATATCTTTCATAACTTCACTTTCTGTATACTTTAAACTTGTTAGTTCGTCAAAGCATCAAATACAATTTTCATATAA